TATATATATATATATATATATATATATATATATATATATTTACACACACAAAAGTATGCTAATCAGTTTAACCTCTTTTGTCTCTATTTCTTAAATTTTCACAACCCCCAAATTATTTCACTACTGAGGCATGGTTCTGCCACTTTAGAAACAGGGTTTTAAGAAAGTATTTTAAAGATCATTTTCAGCACCCTTGAGCCTAACAGGGAGTAGGAAGATTCTGTTTCAGCGTTATCCCGTGTCCACTGGGGCGAAACATCCAGCCCAAGAAACAAAGGCAATACCAACCTAAGAATTAGACCCTGGAGCCATTAATTTCTCAACCTTATAAGTTTAGTTTATTTTTCACAAATGGAAGATGTAGGCAAGCAATACACTACGGACTCTTATCTGTTTTCTTTAATCTCTTCTTGACACACCTTTACTTGTTTGGTAATTGTAAGTTTAATTTTATATGAACTACTTTGAAAGTCATCCTAACACCTGTACCAATGTACAGTGATGATCTATAAGCAAAGGTGTTTTATATAATACTTCAATATAGGTAGATTTTTGGTGGAGAATGGGGAGAGTAGAAGGAAAACAAAGACTGAAAAACTAATATTGTAAAGCAACTATACTTCAATTTAAAAAGAAAAACTAATGTTTCATACCTTTCTGATAGCATAACTCGGATCACGTGGCAGGACCAACACAATTTTCCCATCCCAAAACTCTGCTACAACACGTTCTTTTTTCCAGCCCTGTCAAAAGTGGGGGGTGGGGGGGGAAAGCACATTTTGATCTAAAGCGGAAAAAAAATTAAATAATGTGGTCTGGAGAAGACAAAAAAGATGAATAAATGAATGATATAAAAAAGATAAAATTCAACTACATGAATGTGGTAAGGGAAATAAAAGATGACTGAAACAAAGCTCCTGCCCTCAAGGGGCTGACATACTGTTGGGAGACACGTAAATAATCTATTGTAAAAGAAAGTGAAAGTTGCTCAGTCATGTCCAACTCTTTGTGACCCCATAGTCCATGGAATTCTCTAGGCCAGAATACTGGAGTGGGTAGCCTTTCCTTTCTCCATGGGATCTTTCCAACCCGGGGATCAAACCCAGGTCTCCTGCATTGCAGGCTGATTCTTTACCAGCTGAGCCACAAGGGAAGCCCATTACAAAATAAGGCGAAGTCAAATAAGAGCCCTTTGTAGGAATACAGAGAAAAAACCCACAAATTAGGAGTGTGAAAGTGGGGGAGGGGCAGGATAAGAAGAATTTTAATAAATCAGGCTAAAAGTATTATGAAGGCATGAACTACAGCAATAAAAACATGAAAAACAGAGATGCATTTGAGTAGCAGGTGCAATCATAAAGATAAGGCCAACAATAGGCTGTATTTGAACTTGGAGGTATTTCATGAAGGTGCTTCATGAAGAGCAAAGAAATACCCTGGAGGAGTCAAAGAAAGCTGTTTTTCTGAGGTTATTTAGAAAGAAGAAACTGGAGTGAGAAAAGGGGAAACTCCTCAAGTCTTTGAGTTTTCTACCTTGACTGCTCAGTTCTGCTCCAAAAGCTAGAGGTAAGGATGCAGGGTGTTCATTCAACCAAGAGCAGTAACTTCTCTTATATTAGCACATGAAGTTTGAAATGGCACATCTATTAAAACTAAAATACCATCAGTCTCAAATATTAAACACACAACAAAACTACAGATGATAAAATATTTCTGCATATGTAAATCTTTCTATATTTAGGCAAAAAGAATGTCTCTTTTAAAGTAGTTTCACTTTTAGAACAAACGGAAACTTTTTTTTTTATACTTACAGTATATTTGATTCCCTCCACAAATCGGTGGTGATGCTGAACATGCTGCAGTTCGTCCTCAGAGTTGGAAGCAGCGTAGATCATGCCACAGGACTTACACATGGTGGCTCCGAAATGTTTCTGACCTGCATCCTACAGTTAAAGAGAAAAAATAGCCCATCTAAACACATCACAGATGGCTCTACATTTAGTAAATTTGTCCATTCATTCAAATTTGTCCTTATTTTCCTTTTATGCTGGTACAGGTGAAACATAAATGAAAGTCTGGTTACTCTTTCTCTCTACTCACCAACAAAACAGAATGAGAAGAGCCTAACATGCCATCATGATAAAAGAAGTGAAACTGCCTCTTTGAATGGACAGCAGAAAAAAAAACACACCAAGATTCTTTAGCTGGACCCATAGTTCTAAGAAGGAATAAGATGAAATCATAAATATTATAGCTAAGATGAAAAATGGAACATCCTTATTAAGCTCTTATATGAAAGGCCTAAAAAAGCCTTATTTCAAAGAAGCAGGGGAAAATTTCAGGACTTATACATTCATTAGATAGCATTTTTTCCTTAAATGGTTAGGAAAAAATTAATTTTAATTAAATATTAATAAAATTAAATATTAAAATTCTTTTCTGCAAGAGCTGATAAAAATTAAGTATAATACATAGTAAAAGTTTAAGAAAAGCATAGATAAATTAATGAATATAGAGAATTCAAGGACATTCAATGTCAAGGCTTATTAATTCCTATTCTATCTCACACGGCATTGCTTAAGGCTACTGAAAACACCAAATTTTGAACTGTCTATATAGGTGTTTGCAAATTTTTTGCCAAGGGCCAGATAGTAAACGTTTTAGTTTTTGCAGGCCACACATATTCCTCTCCTTTTTTCACCAACCTTTTAAGAATATAAACGCTACTTTAGCTCAAAGGCCATGGTCCAACTTTGGCCCACAGGTATCATCTGCCAAACCCAGGTCTAATGCAGTGTAGCTCTTCTCATTAAGTCTTTTATAGACTGACTATAGTCTTCCTGATTTGGAGACAACTCATTCATCAGCATTCTACTAAACTGCCAGCACTCCCCAACACCATCAGTTCAAAAATATTCTTGACAGGTTTTAAATGCGGCCACAACAGCAAAGGTAGCATTTACAAACTCAGAACATCTATAACTCCTGGTAACTAGGCTAAGACCACACGTCAGACTTCAGGTTCTATATGTGAGACCCACATACAGGAGGAGCTTTGTTTTAAATTTACTCACAATGATGAGCTGGTCTTTTGTTTCTTTATTTGAATCTTTCGTATTAGTACTCTTCTGTATGTTGATTTGTTTTAAGAAGTTAGTAGATGTGGTGGATCCCACAGAAGACTGTTCTTCAACTAGAGATCTTGGGATAAAAAGGTGATAAGTGTTATTTAATAATTTTAACATGTTTGATAAATTATAATGAAAAGAAAACATATGTATGTACCATTTGCAGAGGACTTTGCAATTTTTAGTGCTTTCTATCGGCAATAACTTGATGAAGTAACAGGGCTAGAAACAATGAGAAGCCCGAGGCCCACTCAGACAGGATTGGTAGTCGACTCAAGGTAAAGTAACTAGGGAAGAATGATGGAAAGACTCAAATTCCTGTCTTCTAACTCCAAGTTCAAAGGATTTCATCTACAGTATCAGATGCATATGGGTTTCCCAGGTGGCTCAGAGGTAAAGAATCTACCTGCTAAGCAGAAGATGCAGGTTTGATCCCTGGGTCAGGAAGATCCTCTGAAGGAACAAGGCAACCCACTCCAGTATTGCCTGGGAAATGCCATAGACAGAGGAGCCTGGTGGGCTATAGTTCATGGGGTCACAAAGCATCAGACATGACTTAGTGACTAAACAACAACAAATCAGATGCATATACATAGGATTTCTTCATAAGTTGATGTCACCTTTAAAAATTAATCTTTTCTTGCTTTTCAAATTTTAAAACAATATTTACCCATGCAGGCATAAAGAAATTCATGGAATGCCACAGCAAATAAGTATACTCTAATACTGGATCTCATAGACCCACAGGAAGTCAGTCACCAGCAACCAGCATATTATGATCCAACAACTTTTTACTGAGGCATGGGGCAGTGAGTGAGGCTAATACACGGCTAAAGCAGCACCCTACTATTCTTAAATTCTTATACAAAAAAAAAAATTTAGCTGGACAGATGTTGAGGCAATCTTTTTCCTTTAGGAGACAGTGCTGGGGCTGGCTTATAGAGGTTGCAAACTGGAGCCCATAGGCCAAATTTAGCTAGCAGATATTTTGATTGGCTCACATAGAGTTTGGATTAGCTACCAATGTTTTAAAATCTAGAGATTTCACTTAAAAATGTGTATTTCCAATATTGCAAGAGACACTGGAAGATCATTAGAGCTGTTTCATCAAGGAATCTAAGAGTTGGAGCTACTGGCACAGGCTCTTTTAGATGGGGTGTGCTTCTCCAATTGGCTGCAGTCTCTGTAGGTCTCCCAAGGATCAAAGAAATAGAAATCTCTAGAGTAGTGGTGGGAGGGGGGTGGAGGGGGGGGACAAGTACCCAAAGCAAGAAGTTCAAACAGAAACTCACGTTGATAAATTAAAAAAACACTGGAAAAATACCCTCTGTAATGCTATATGCTAACCCAATCTGTCAGATGATAAGAGGACATCTTATCATCTGACTAGAAAATGGCTTTTATAATGACTTGACAAAACTATGGTGAGAAATATATTTCCCATCATGACCAATACAGATACACATACATAACTGGTCACTAAATATACTATGTGAGAGATGTATTATTCCATTAAGAAAAAATGCTAGATGTGATGCCCTTAAATTTTTATTGATGTGACAAACTATCAATGCTAATAATGCCAGTAATATAAAAAACACTTGTCTAGGTCACTGACTCCTCTACACCTTATACAGCCTGTGCTAAGTAACTCAGCACTTCCCAGCCTTGCAGGCATTTTTACTTCTAGCCTAGCAATGTTAACACTTATTCATTTAAATGTCTGTCCTCTCCTAACCATGACTTCCTTGACAGCAGAGCCATGTTGTACTTATCTTCACATCTCTAAAATCCAGTGTATTTCAATACCACATGGTATTCTATAAATGTTTGCCAAATGTGAGAGTACAAACCCAGACAATCTGTGATCTACCTAAAGTAAAAGTCAGAGTAAACTACAGGAAACGGATGATATCTGACTTTTTGGGTCCTACGTAATGAGCAAATTTCAAATGATTCAACCAACAGTCTCCTAACATCTCCCTACGCTAGGTTAGTTTACACACTGTTAGCTAATTGTGATAGGTTTTGATCCTCAATAAATAGAAGACAGATGAGAAAAGGGAAAGGTGAAATTAGGAATATGGTCTTTGCAGGGGAAAAACTACCCACCCAACCAATCTCCAAGACAATTCAGGGTGAGATGCCCTAAGAGCAGGAAAACTTTACTAGGAAGTACTCTGCTCAATATCTTCAGATGTTTATCATCAACAGGGAAAAAAGAAACAAAGCTGCTTAGTGAGCAGCTCCCTAGAGAAGGAAATGGCAACCCACTCCAGGATTCTTGCCTGGAGAATCCCATGGACAGAGGAGCCTGGTGGGCTATAGCCCATACGGTTGCAAAGAGTCGGAGACAACTGAAGTGACTTAACACACTGCTTAGCGAGGTGCTCAAACTGTAAGAAACTTCGTCCTCAGAGCTTTTTTGTGTATACTCATAAGCACCCATGCCTCCCCCAGTTCCAGTTTTAGTTTTGAGCAGGATAGTGTGTAGCTTCTGAGTTGCTGCAAGTTACTTATTCCTCTGGCCAGTCTCCTCATCTGTAAAATGGGGTAATGATGGTATCCACACCATGACACGCCGAGTGCCCATTAAACATGAACTATTATCAGTATGTTATCACACAGAGGAGGCAATACAGCCTAATGGACTTTGATTAAATATGGATTCTAGTCCTGGCTTTGTCACCAAAGAGCTGTGCAACTGTGGCTGAATTACAAAGTTCTCTCCGCTGAAAAGGGTAATAACAATATCAAGCTTCTGGGTTGCTGTGGGGATAAGTGAAATAGTGAATATAAATTATTATGGGTCAGGTATTACACAAAAATGGAAGAAATTACTATTATTCCGGCCCATAAAGGTCTTTTCCTTTCTTAATGCTTCAAGTTCCTATGAAGTTTCTATGAGAGGGTCTGATTTCATCTCCTGTTCTAAATATCTCAATGGGGAAGAGAAAAATGCTCTCCAAGTTAAATAGTATAAGAAAAAAAAGAGACCCAGTGGACTCATAATTAAACCTTGAAAATTAAAATAAGAGCAACCCTTACCTTTTTGTGTTGACTGAACACATAGTGAAGATGGGATAGACAATGGACTCAGGAGAAACTGGTAAGGGAAAAAAGTGAACAATAATTTGTATCACAGAATAAACTTAAAGCTTTAAAGCAAAAGATTTTAAAGATTAATAAAACCAAAATACTCACAATACTTGATTTCAAGACTTAACAGTAATTAAGACAGTATGGTATTGACAAACAGATCAATGGAATAAAATAGAGCCCCAAAACACCCACCACCCATGCACGTATAGTCAATTGATTTTTCAATGGCAAAAAGATAGCTATCAAATTATGCTGGAACAATTTGACATCCATATACAAAAAAAATGACAACACTCACATAAAAATTACCTCAAAATGGATCACAGATCTAAATGCAAAATGTAAAACTATAAAACTTCTAGAAGAAAATTCCACATGAACTTGGGTTTCATAAGTTTTTACATACAACACCAAAAGTACTCCAGTAGCAATAACCACATCAAGTCCAGAACCTGGTTTCCAAATAATATTCCCCAACAGAAGGGACCATGGTTCCTTGGAGAAATGGCTGAGTCTAGGACTAGGTTAGGGAAAGTGCAAGATGAGCCTATAGCCTTTTGTAGTGCCAGAAAGTAATAAGGAAGTGCTCAAAAAGCAAAAGAAGGGGACATGTCAAAGAGAACTGACCCAATGGTCAAAGCTGGAACAATATGAATGACAGACTAAATCATGTAGTATTAGATTTTAACCCCAAATATAAAATATTCATGAGTGCATACTGGTGAATATTTAGGAGTCTATTTATTTATTTAAAAATTGAGTAAATAAATGGGAGAGGAGAGATAACTCTTCTTAACAGGATTCCAAATAATATATGTGAAAATTTCCCCCTCCAAGAGATGAAGCTTAATTCCCATCCCTCCCTGAAAGGGTAGACTAGACTTAATGACTTACTTCAAAGAACAGAGTTTGGCAAAGGAAAAAGGGTAACTTTTACAGTGGAGAAATTGGGCAAACCTGACCAAGTGATAGAGGTAAGTTAACATCATCTATAATGTCACGTGGACATCACACCCAAAGTGGTGAAAATGGCATTCTCCTCAGTGTCATTCTTCCTCCAAACCTATAACCCCGGTCTAATGATGAGAAAAACATCAGACAAACCCAGGTGCAGGAACATCCTATAAGATATCTGGCCAGTACTCCTCAAGGTCATGAAAACAAAGAAAAGACTGAGAAAATGTCACAGACAAGAGGAGACTATGGAGACACGGCAACTAAATACAATGTGATTCCTAGGCTGGGTCCTACAACAAAAAGGGGATGTTAATGAAAAAACCAGTCAATTCCAGATACAGCCTAGAGCTTATTTAATCATAATATACCAGTGATTAGTTTCTTTGTTTTGACAAAAGTACAATAGTAGTATAAGATGGTAACACCACCTTACCTGTCTCTGAGAAACCTGTATACAGGTCAAGAAGCAACAGTTAGAATAGGACATGGAACAAAGGACTTATTCAAAATGGGAAAGGAGTATGACAAGCCTGTGTACTGCCACACTACTTATTTAACTTCTATGCAGAGTACATCATGTAAAATGCTGGGCTGGATGAATCACAAGCTGGAATCAAGACTGCCAGGAGAAATATCAACAACTTCAGATATGCAGGTAATACCACTCCAATGGCAGAAAGTATAGAGGAAGAAACGAGCCTCTTGATGAGGGTCAAAGAGGAAAGTGAAAAGGCTGACTTAACACTCAACATTCAAAAATTAAGATCACGGCATCTGGTCCCATCACCTCAAGGCAAATAAAAGAGGAAAAAGTGGAAGCAGTGACAGATGTTATTTTCTTGGACTCCAAAATCACTACAGATGATGACTGCAGCCATGAAATTAAGACAGCTGCTCCTTGGAAGGAAAGATATGATGAAACTAGACAGTGGATTAAAAAGCAGAGACATCACTTTGCCAACAAAGGTCTGTATCGTTAAAAATATTGTTTTTCCAGTAGTCATGTATGAATGTGAGAGTTGGACCATAAAGAAGGCTGAGCACTGAAGAATTGATGCTTTCGAAGACTCTTGAGAGTCCTTATGATTGCAAAGAGATCAAACCAGTCAATCCTAAAGTAAATCAACCCTGAATATTCACTGAAGGACTGATGCTGAAGCTCCAATACTTTGGCCACCTGATGCAAAGAACAGACTCAGTGGAAAATAAGACCCTGATGCTGGGAAAGATTGAGGACAGGAGAAGGGGAGACAAGGATGAGATGGTTGGATGGCATCACCGACTCAATGGACATGAGTTTGAGCAAACTCCAGGAGACAGTGAAAGAAAGGGAAGCCTGGAGTGCTGCAGTCCATGGGGTCCCAAAAGAGTTGGACATGACTTAGTGACTGAACAACAACAATAGGGTAAATGGGGTTAAGACACGTACTCTTTACAACTTCTCTGTAAATCTAAAATCACTACAAAATGAAAAGCTTATTTTAAAAAAATGAAAAGAAGTGGGAGTTCCCTGGTGGTCCAGTGGTTATGATTCAGTGCTTTCATTGCCATGGCCTGGGTTCATTCCCTGGGTCCAACCTCTTACTTGAAAGATCTCTTCCCTAGATCACAGTTAATCACTGGCAGATCCAGACAAAACCCAAGACTCCTGATGCCAAATCCAGTGACCTGTTATGGCTTAGTGAATTCTGCTTACAATTGGGCTTTGATCACAGATATATATTTTTTTCACTCCCTCCTATCATTTGGGGTAAAAGGGTAGGTATGATGAGAACACTCAGCTCTAGATAGCTTAAGTAACTGGGCCATATCTCACAGACCAATTAATCAGAGTATTTTGTCTTAAGTTCTCACATAAGTTCTCCTTGTCTCCTCCTCAACAGTGTTACCGAGAGCAACACAAACATACAAAGTCATGGATACTGAATATTTTAAAAAGCCAAAATAGTATTGTATATACTTTCATACTGACACATGTAATGAAGCATTATTACAAGAAAAAATCTCATTCTGAGAAGAAAAGTTCTCTTACTTACCTGTCTTGTTCTCACTGAAAGACTCCTCTGAAGGACAACTCTTATTTTCATTAGTTTTACACTCCCTTGAAGAAATGACTCCATCTGATGCATCCTGAAAATAATGAGTAAAATTAAAGAAACCTATAATTCTTAATCATCGCACATTTAGTCAATGCATCCCAAGAGATCTGTTTCTAAAACAAAACAAAATATGTAGCTTATCATGAATTACATTTCATAATGACTTTAAATCCTCAATTTTCAGTCTGTTTTAAGGAAAATTTCCTCTATATTTACTAAATGTAATATTTTTAAAAGATAGAGTGTGCATATTTAAGTTTATAATTTGTCATCCTGTCAAAAAATGTATTATTTCCTGACAAAGATGACAGAATGAAAATCATAGAACATCCCATCCACAAAAATAAATTGAACAACAGCGGAAAAATCAGTAAAAATGCCAAAAATCTCCCTAGGAGCCACCAAACTTTAAAAGAACCAACCCTTTGTCACAAGCTTTAAAAACAGGGAGCAAAGGAGAGAAAAACATTCTGGAGTAGTTGGAGAGGCTTCTAACTCCCACTTTTTGGATAGTAGCAGGATGGTGGGAAAAACAAAGTAGACAAACTTGTGACAAATTTCAGTAAACACTACTTATTTGATGAGACTTAAGAGAACATACAGCTTGGGGGAAAAGGAAAAAACTTTTGATTAAAGAAGAACTCCTATTCAAGATCATAACTATCTCTGAAGAAGTGGGGACAAGCCATCAGTTTGCCGTTTCTCAAGGCTCCACAGAGTTGGGAAAAGGTTATGCACTCTCTAATGAAAACAGCATTTATCCTTAGCTAAGCTGTGCTCAGTTGCTCAGTCGTGTTGGGACTCTTGGCAACTCCATGGACTGTAGCCTGCCAGGCTCCTCTGTCCCTGGGATTCTCCAGGCAGGAATACTAGAGTGGGTTGCCATGCCATCCTCCGGGGGATCTTCTCAAACCAGGGATCAAATCCATGTCTCTTCTGTCTCCTGCACTAGCAGCCAGGTTCTTTACTGCTAGTGCCACCTGGGAACCCCCTAAAAACACTGACTATCAAATAAAAGTTAAGTTTCTCTGGACCACAGTCATGAAGGAACTTAAAGAGCTACCTCAATAATACCAAAACCATAATACCATAAAACCATATTACCAAAAAATGATGGTAGGCTTCATTAAGCCAAAAGACGGAGGAAAATCCTATTTTTCTACTCTGCCTCAAAATTCTTTATAATGATGATAGTATCTGGCTTCATAAAAGCATTCCTCCAGACTAAACAAAATTTTGTTCCTGTATGACAGTAATCTCCAGGAACAAAGTATCAGGCTACCACTTGACAGGTCTCGGCTCCTCATTTCCTTCCACTAAATCAGTGTATGGAAACATACCTAGATCAGACTAGTTTTGCTGCTAATTTTACTTACCTTGTAAACATTTAAGTTTGCAGTTCCCACTGGCAATGTTTCTTCCTATCAAGTATTGCCAAGCATATTGCTAAATGGAACATGTTCTTGCTTGCCTAAGCCATAAGAGCAATTCTACTAATTCTTTATATTGTTTCTGACAAAAAAACACAACTATATCTTGACAGGGGTTTCGGTTACATGCTATGTGAGTTTATCAAAATTCAGACTATATATCTGTACAATTCACTGTATATAGATACATGTCAATTTAAAAAAATACGGGGCACAGCTCAGGCTAAAATTAATTCTCAATCCATCAAAATAAGCGTGTGTGTATTGAGGGGGGGTCCCTCTGCATTTCTACCTATTCATCTTATTAGCCTTCTCCATGTCTATTTCATAATGAAGAGACAGTCTTATTAAAATGACATGATTTCTCTGCAACCTTTCTTTCTTTTCCGAGCTTCATTTTAAGGGACTAGCTACACACACACATACCTACCTACATACATACACACAGACACGGTTTTCCCTGGTAGCTCAGTTAGTAAAGAATCTGCCTGCAATGCAGGAGACAGGGGTTCGATCCCTGGGTTGGGAAGATTCCTTGGAGAAGGAAATGGCAACCCACTCTAGTATTCTTGCCTGGGAAATACCATGGATGGAAGAGCCTGGCAGGCTACAGTCCACGGGGTCACAAGAGTCAGACATGACTTAGCGACTAAACCACCACCACCACCACTACCATATACAGAGAAAGCCAACTTAGTTTTAGAAGCTGTATATTTCCCTTTACCTTTATTAATTTCTCTTCACTTTTACTTCTTTCACTCAACAGCTCAATGTTCAGTTCTTTTTCTACTAACACACACTTTGGCGCTTGCCTTTTCTCAAAACTTCTTTCATTGACAGTCTCTCCATCAGACTCTTCAATAACTTCTGATTTATTTTTCTGGGTGAGTCCCAGTAACGGCTTATCTTCCAGGGATGACTTTCTCAATGAGGGCTTTTTCCTACTAACAAAAAAAGCTGCTCCACCCTGAAGAGTAGCTTGTGGTTTGACCTTCTGGCTTAGAACTCGAGGAGCATTCAGATTATTTTCAGCTGAGTAACAATTATTCTCCACAGCTGGCTTATAGGTCACTTGGTTCTGCTTGGAATTTTTAGAATTCTTTGATACAGGCTTGATGCATTTATATCCTGCTTGACACTTAGCAGTCAAACTCTTCTGTGGTTTTTTGTTCATCTTCTTGGAGCAGACTGGTTTTCCTTGCATTTTTTCTGTCATATAGGAATGTGATTTATCCTCAATATTAGTTTTTAGACCAATGGATCTACTCTCTTTTATCAGCTTTCTCTCCAATGGATTGAGGTACCACTTATCTTTGTTGTAAAAGGATACAGCAGACACAGAAGATTTAAATGGTGAACCTTGATTTGCAGATGGCAATCTATTTTTAGTCATTTTGAGTGGACTTGAAATCAAATGGCCCTGTTGAGAGCAATGAATCTTTCCTTCATTTTTAATAGTGGTTTGGCAACTGTGCTTTTTATTAGGTGATGGAAATACATTTTCAGTGAAGTCCAAAATTAATTTCTTTGATGGAATTTCTGATAATGGGCTATGAAAAGAAACAGAGTCCATTGATAGTTATTTTGCTTCAGTTTTTTTGTCAATTTACTACTAAGCAATAAACAACTTCACCTGGAAGGCATATTAAAAATATATCTCCAAAAGCATCTATCTACATACACTATTAGATTAGCAGTTGGAATTCTCAAATTGTCTATGAAGTATTTGAGTATTTTTCAAAACTAAGACCCTGATAATGTTTGTGAAAACACTTTACAAAGAAGCTTTGAGATATGTGCGTGTGTGTATGTGTGTTTTAAAACCTATTTCTAAGTTTTGGCCATATACTCTGAAGCAAGTTCCCTAAAATGATTAACTATATACACAATAAACTGACCACTTAGGGCCTGTAATTTATATCTCTGGTATAACATACACAGAGTACACAGCTTTCTAGGATCGCTGTGTATAATAGGATGAGCACCTATTACATGCAAAACAGCATGCTAAATATTACATAAGAGAGCAGAAAGAAACAAGGTAATAAAAGATCTGACACATATTTCCAAGCCATAGATAACAGCCCTTTTTCTGATTCCCTCCAAACGCACTAAAGAATTAATTATAAAAGCTTAAATAGTATTTCCAGATTAGAATTAGAATATAAATTATCATATTAATTAATATAAAGTATTCTTGTAACTACAAGGAGTAGGTAAATGAAAGAATGGAAATATTTAGACATAGGAGAGAGAAGATAAAAAAAATTTAAGACGGTAGTTTTTTTTTTTTAAGAATTCCCACTCAGGATGAGACTTACGTGTCACAGTTCAAAGAGCACTGCTTCCTTTTTGTTGGCGTTAAAGTTGACATCCTAACTCCTAAAAGCAACAGAACAATATAATAACCAAATAAATCCAATGTGTATAAAAATCGCTATATCAAAACTATGATTTATAATACTGAAAAAGTTCTCAGATGGGTGATGGTTCATTAAGATTAAAAAAAAGGTTTTTTTAAAAAAAGCAAATTACTTTGATATAGGTTTAAAGCATGAAGGTAAAAAAAAAAAAGAAAATTTAAAAACACTACTTCACAAAGAAAGTGAAGTCACTCAGTCGTGTCCAACTCTTTGCGACCCCATGGACTGTAGCCTATCAGGTTCCTCCATCCATGGGATTTTAGAGGCAAGAATACTGGAGTGGGTTGCCATTTCCTTCTCCAGGAGCTCTTCCCGACCCAGGGATTGAATCCGGGTCTCCCGCATTGTAGGCAGACGCTTTACCGTCTCAGCCACCAGGGAAGCTGCCCCCAGCCCAACCCCCTCCTCCCCCCACTAATTGAGCAAAGACAGTACAAATTAAATTAAGCAGGAACAGTACAAATTTCAAGCTGGAAAATGGTCCTACCAAAGAGGAAGGATTTTACCCCATTTCAGGACACACTTTCCCGACTTCAACAGCCTGATGAATTCATCTCAAGTTTAATCACTCTATATCCTGGGCAGCTGTCCTTCCCGTAACCTTCACCACCCGCCTCTCCCCAAATCCCAACAGCTCTCCTGCTGTTAGATGCTCCTGCCCTAGGCTTCCAATTCACCCTGCACTGCCTTGGTATCCATTTTGCCTACTTTCTCGTCTTTGGCTTGAAGGTCTTTCCCTACAGCCTGCAGGTACAATGAAGGCAGAAACCATCTATAACTTTTTCACCAAAAGCCAGCAAGAAAACGGGGAAGCATAATTCTCTCCCATTTTATTAGCTGAGGAGCCGCTTGTTTTCTTATTTACAAAATACTCTGACCTCCTAAGGCTGCGAGTAATAAACACAATCACGCATGTTAACTCTCAAGCAGATGGTATGTTGCTCAATAAATTTTCCCTTCCTCTTCCTCTCGGCTCAAGCGTATTTTTAATACACAAGCGTAACTTTCAAGTTAAACAGAAAGACCTGAGTCTCTGGAAATTCGTGCCGAGCTGCAGCTTTAAAGACCTTTCTGAGGCTGAATGAGGAAAAACAGGAGAGAAAAGCGACCCTGTCCCCACACGCTGTCAAGGCAAAAAGGCGAGAAAACTCAGCGTCAGAAAGATGGAAACCCGGAGACCTAGAAGCGCGGCCACCAGGTCGCTAACTCTGGTCTCCAGCCTAGAACGCGCCAAACCCCAAGCAAAAGCTCTCTTTTTTTGACATTCACCCCCACGTTCCACAGAACCTCCTGGTCTCCAGGTTCTTCCAGATCACGCCTCGGCCCCAGGCAGCACTTACCTCGTAGCACCTCAGACAGACGACTTCTCCTCAGCCGAGCCCTTAGTCCCTCACTGTATTCAAATTCTGGCGCGCCAGTCCAGGCGGAAACCGCTGCGTTCCGATTCGCCGCCTCCGAGCGTGTCCAAGGGCAGACTCGACGATTGGTTGTGCACCAGCGCTTGCCCCGCCTCGCAGGAGGCGGTCTCCAAGAGTCTCCCGCCCTTGGCAAGGCTGAAACCTCTCCCCTGGCGGAAACCACGTCTTCCAGAACCCCTTGCGGCAGCGCCAGGCTCCTTTCTGGAGGCCTTACCTAGGTGCATTCTGGGAGTTGTAGTTTTCCGCAGAACGACGACGTTCTCTGTTACTCGATATATTGAGGTCACTTGCTGTTAAGATTTTTTTTTTTTTTTTATAGCAGCATAAGAGTCTCAAGTTATTTTTCACATTTGGCGCTATAATGCTGGTGATCTGGTCGCTAAGTCATATCCGACTCTTGCGACTCGATGGACTGTCGCCTGCCAGGCTTCTCTGTCCATGGGATTTTCCAGGCAAGAATACTGGAGTGGGTTGCCATTTCTTTCTCCAGGGGATCTTCCCAACCCAGGAATCCAACCCAGGTCTCCTTCACTGCAGGCAGATTCTTTACCGACTGAGGTGCCGTTGCTTTTTTTCCCTAGAGATGTTAGGTGAAGCAATCTTTTTTTCAAGTTAAATAAAAAATTAAATGACGGCAGTAACATCTACGTGCCAGGCATTCATGCACGTTTTCGTGTTTTATTTCACTCACCACAGTCTACGGGATATGTACCATCATTCCCATTTTATAGAAAATAAAACTGAGGGCCTGAGAACAATTACTTTTCATAGGACAGTGTAGATTCTTGCTTTGGAAAGCCCAAAAGTTCCTAAAGCACTTGTTTGTTATTCAGTTCAGTTCAGTTGCTCAGTCGTGTCCGACTCTTTGTGACCCCATGAATCACAGCACACCAGGCCTCCGTGTCCATCACCAACTCCTGGAGTTTACTCAAACTCATGGCCATCGAGCTGGTGATGCCATCCAGCCATCTCAGCCTCTGTCCCCTTCTCTTCCTGCCCCCAATCCCTCCCAGCATCAGGGTCTTTTCCAACTAGTCAACTNTAAGTTAAATAAGCAGGGTGACAATATACAGCCTTGACATACTCCTTTTCCTATTTGGAACCAGTCTGTTGTTCCACGTCCAGTTTCAACTGTTGCTTCCTGACCTGCATACAGGTTTCTCAAGAGGCAGGTCAGGTGGTCTGGTATTCCCATCTCCTTCAGAATTTTCCACAGTTTATTGTGATCGACACAGTTGAAGGCTTTGGCGTAGTCAATAAAGCAGAAATAGATGTTTTTCTGGAACTCTCTTGCTTTTTCGATGATCCAGCAGATATTGGCAATTAGATCTCTGGTTTCACTGCCTTTTCTAAAACCAGCTTGAACATCTGGAAGTTCTTGGTTCACATATTGCTGAAGCCTGGCTTGGAGAATTTTGTTATTAGCTACTGTTATCTTTGTGTACCAGCTCCTAGTACACTCCCTGTCACCTTTCTTAGTTCTAAAAAAATTTAGTTAAGTGATGCGCTTAACTTCACATAATAAGATAATATAAATAATCAGGTTAAAGCGAAGTGCTGTTGGGAACTCAGTCAGATCATTCCCACTTTACAGCCGGAAGATCTGAGGTTCCCTCAGTCTCGTAGGTAACAGATGGCAGATCTTGGATTTAAAGGTAGATCAGTACAAGTCCAAACGCAGAGAGGCATATTGCCTCCAGTGAAACTCACTTATTCTAGAGTGTTCACCACGTCCTAAACCTTCCACACCTATTAATTTACTAAACCCTGACAAAATAACCTGTGAATTAACCGCTCCATTCATCCTCATTTTGCAGCTAAGTGCAGCAAGCTAAAATGCCCAACAAGTGATGGAGCTAGAATGAGAATAGTGGAGGAATTTGGGTTCATTCAAAATTTAATGAGCTTCTATACTAAGTTCCAAGTACCGTGATTAGTTCAGTGAAAGCGTAGCCGTGAAGAAGGCAGATTTCTACTTTTGAGGAGGCCAGATGCGGGTGAAAAAGGTCAAAGGAAACCAACTTGATAGCCCACAGGGTGCAGGTTCTAAAAATAAAGCCAGGCAATGGCATTTTTCTCTTTAGTTCCCCCGCTTCGTTTTCCACCCACCAATCCTCCTTCCTCCATCCTCTTTCCTTTGACCCCCAAGTAAGTAGAGTTCTGAGCGCGCGGACACCTCCTCCACGGCCGAATTGAAGATGGCGACGGCGACCGGCGTTATGACGCGACCCGACGTCAGCCGGAAGTGCGTGGAGCAGTTCCGGGAAACGCGGCCTCCGCGCTTCCGGTATCCTGAGCTTCTAGGTTTGAATCCTGCTTCTGGGCGCTGTAATTGTCCCAACGCCGCTGGAATCATGGTGTTCTACTTCACCAGTAGTAGCGGTGAGTGGTCGCCGAAACCTTCCGGGTCCCTACCTCGACTGTGGGGCTCCGAAGCCCTGACCTCGAGGCCACTGCTAGCCTGGTCCTTAAGTGCCTTCTCGGCAGTGGGTGCTTTTTCGCTAGTCCTGATGGTCTCTCCACCGTGTCCGTCCCAGTCCTCCCAGTGTGCCTCCTCGTCAGTGCCTGGTTGGCGGGGAGGGAGCGTAGAGGGACCATCTCCTGAGCTCTCTTTGCCTCCGGGCGACCTTCTTTTCCCTCAATCGGAAAGACCTGTCGCTACCTGGAATTAGGCAGTTTGTGGACTTACTCACCCTACCATCGTGAAGTCTTCTCTTCCCCACCCACCCCCGTAACATTTAATCTTGCTGCTCTCTGGTAAGAAAGGAGACACCTGCCAACAACCCTACCTTACGGAAAGTGCGCTTTACCCTTTCGGGAAAGGGTTATTGGGTTTGGATGCTACCGAAAGACTCTGGAGTGGCGAGACAGCCACTCGTTGGGCAGAGTTAATGTCCCAGATTTTGAAAAGTGACATGATAGTTTCTGATTTGTCTTTGGCAGGCGAGAAAAGGGTGTCTTTAGTTCCCAGGAACTGCTGTGTCTTCGTTTCTCTGCTTATATTTTTCTCTTTGCCTTAAATCAACCCCCCAGTTAGCTGCTTCTCCCCAGAGACAGCTCTCGCCTATCTTTTCCAAATGCCTTTCTTTCCTTGTTCCCACCCAGGATTGCTTAGGTATATCTCTTGGGGGAATGCCTTTAACACAATGCATACTTTTAGCATTGCACTTATCATATGATGTTAAACTTTTGTCTGCTTGAGATAGAGTTTAATCCTGTTGAGGGCAGTTACAGGACCTCCTTGTTCCACTAGCATAATGCCTGGCTCTTAATAGTAACTCAATAAATACTTAATGAATAAATGAATGCTATTTTTTGACTTAACAGCAGGACTCTATTCTATTGCTACTCTCTGCCTACTTGGTAAAGGTGAGATTTAAGTGAAACTAACAACATGGTGGTTATGTGGGTTTGAACAGGGTGGTGCTTGCTCTTTAGATTTGAGAAAGTTGAAGCCCAGGAAAGTTGTAACTCACAGAGCCCCTCCTCTGCTACTCCATCACACTGTCACATCTCATTTTTCTCAATAGTTTAGGCTTCCACAGTGTGCTATAAGCTATTTCTCTGTTTCTGTGTGCTTGGTTTTTTCTTATCCATATTATTAAAATTGCTAGAAACAAAATTCAAACTAGCCTGAAAATCGTTATAAGGTCCTAATTGCATTTTTATCTGCTGTCTCTCCTGTTCTGCCCCTCTGTCATAATATAACCTAGGCATCTTTTTGTGGCTTCTCCACTCATGGGAGTCCTTGACAACATAGTTATCCATACAAGTCCAACAATGGAATGACAAATATAGGCCGGGCATGTTGTTGTCTTCCTTTAGTTGCTAACTCTTTTCTGACTCTTTGAGACTCTATGGACTGTAGCCCGCCAGGCTCCTCTTCCCAGGCAAGAGTACTGGGGTAGGTTGCCATTTCCTTCTCCAGGGGATCTTCCCTGACTCCTGCATTGGCAGGCGGGTTCTTTAGTGAGCTACCTGGGCAGCCTGAGGCAGGACATATAGGTACTAAATGTATTTTACATAGGCTACGTTATTCTCCTTAAAGCGATTCTAAATTCTTTGAGTGCCAGTCATATACACGGAGATGCCCCTAATAGAGCAGAGGGCTTCAGCTGATTTGTGGGTTATTTTTTTCTCATTGGCTTCCATGGCAGCATCAGAACTGCTTCTTGTCGGAAAAATATTTGGCCTCTTAAGTCTAATAAATCTACAATTGTGCAGCTTTTAAATTTGCAGAGTAATATAGTAGTAAAATTTTTTACATATTCCAGTACAGAAAACAATTTGAACATACAGAATTTTAAGGAAATGACTTTGTATAAATAGCCAAGCTTTTCAATCAACTGATGGTTTACTGCAAAAAAAAAAAAAAGACCTTTAAAAAAAAATGGGCTGGAAATCGCAATAGAAAATTTTTGCCTTCTCTTTTAAAATTAGTATCTCTGACTAAAATCTGCTTATTCTTTCATGCTCCCATAATAGATTAAGGAAACATTAACTTTGCTGTATTTTCAGTGTCACATTCAAGACCCTCTGATTTATGGATTCCTGCACGTGTTAGTGCATTAAGCACGTTAAGTTCACTTATGTTTTTAGTACCTTTTACCAGTGTCCATCTCAATATAGATGGTTAAATTATGAAATTATCACAAGGCCTCAAAAGTTGGGTTGATTGCTACATGTGAGTCAGGAATCTTCAAGACAACTAATTCTCATACTAATCACATTATTTGGGTGAGTTACAAGAGTACTAGAATAATTCAGTTTACTCTTCCTTTATCCCTCTAATATGGAAAAGGAAAGTCACTCACTCGTGTCCGACTCTTTGTGACCCCATGGACTCTACAGTCCACGGAAGTCTCCAGGCCAGAATACTGGAGTGGGTAGCCTTTCCCTTCTTCAAGGGATTCTCCAAACCCAGGGATTGAGCCCAGGTCTCCCGAAGTACAAGCGGATCCTTTACCAGCTGAGCCACAAGGGAAGCCCAAGAGTACTCCCTTCTCTGAGGTGGGTCTTCCCGACCCAAGAATCAAACCAGGGTCTCCTGCATTACAGGTGGATTCTTTACCAACTGAGCTATCAGGGAAGCCGTGGAGGAGAGCTTAATTCAGACTTCTTACTCAGGAGTCATGCTCCTTTTTAAAAAAAATTTTATTTTCTACTTTGACATTTCAGTCTTTCAGAAAAGTTACAGGAATATTAAAAGATTTCCTTTATAGCCTTCTCTCAGATTCCCCAAATTCAAACATTTTACCACATATACCTTATCTCCTTTTCCCTTTCTTCTTTTCCTTTTTCTACTTTTTCCATCTCCCCTTACTCCCAACTCTCTCTCTCTGCACACACACACACACACTCACAGGTTTTTTTTTTCCTGAACCATCTTTAAGTTGTGTCTTACCCCTAAGTACCTCAGGGTATTTGTCTTAAAATCAAGCATATTCTGTTATCAAAAGGCACTGTTCATTATCCAAATTAGGAAATTAACATTGCAGCAATACTGTTACCTAATCAGCAACTTTTATCCAGTTTTCATCAGTGTCCTAGTAATGAATTTATCACAAAAGAAAGCTGCAAATCAATTGTTACATTCTCTTGTCATTCATTGCTCTCTGGAGTCTTCTGATCTGGAGCAATTGCTCAATCTTTGTCTCTCATGACACTGTCTGTTGAAAAATTATTCTGTAGAATGCCTCTCAGTTTGGGGTTGTAGCAATTATGTTATTAACCACCTCATTTTATAGGTCCACCATCCATCATCTGTCATTCTCTTGGCAGGAGTTTAGCTAGCTTGCCCTGCAGAGACAACTTTGTTTACTTCAGTCATCTCAAAAAAAAAAACACACCTTTTTTCTGATTACAAAAACCATCTAAACATTTTGTAAGCAAATAGGTAAGGTCACGGTTAACAGTTAAACATATATATATCCTTCCATAGTATAAAGAAAATGGGTGTGTATATTAGAAACATATATGTAAGCATGTTTATATGTACAATTTTTTTAACCGATTGAATCTTACTGTTTATAGATAACACAGAAATACTGTTCTGTTAGTTATTCACCTACTCTTTCTTTTTAATGGATCCATGGCATTTTGTTTGTGTGTTCTATAGTTCTTAATTAACTCCTGTTTAGTTTGTATGAAGAGCTTCATTGCTTGAAGAAGTGTTAATTAGTAGGGTATGTACTCTTAGTGGTGACATTATAGGATCAAAAGGGTGTGCAAATACAATAGCTCCCCAAGTGAACATCTGAAACACTTTTTAGTTGTATTCCTGCAGTTGGTGTTTGTCCAGTGCTGTGCAAAGGGCTTATCAGGATAATACAATACTTAATTATAGACAGATCTCTCTGTCAGTTAGTCAGTACAGACATTCTCTCCTTTCAAACTTCTCTCAACTACTTCCAAGTAATATGGATGGTAGTCATCGTAACTACTCACTGAAGTGGGAGTCTTCTGTTCCCAAGAAGGGCAACTATGCTTGATCATTTAAGGAGCTTTTCATTCGGAAGGTACAGGCAACCCTGAATTTATGAATCTACAAATGAAAGAGTTCAGAGGTCCACTTAATAGAGTAGTTCCAGCTCTGGAGCGACAGCCAGCAGACCACCTAGCCCAGCCTTAACACCTGTCAGCCAGGCTTTGTAGACAGAGACCGAGTGGCTGTTAGTTCAGGAGTCTAGATCCAAATGGGGTCTAAAAGATTTTGGTAGACTTGCTCAGAAACTCAGGACCCAGTTAGGATTTCAATTACAAAACCTAACTGATTGCAGATGGAGGAGCCCACAGCAAAACACACTAGCTCAGGAAAGCCAATGTCATTTCTAAGGTAAGCCATACCCAGAATATCCAGTTTGATTTAGGGTAGGAGTTCCTAACACTGACTTCAGATTAGAAATCGTTATAAAAAGACATCTTAAAAAAAAAAAAAAAAAAAACCAATCCCCAGAGATTTGGATTTGATTGGTCTTAAGTGGAGCTGGGGCAAAATTAGGTGGTTCTATAAACAGGGTTCAGGGTCACTGATGAGAAGCTTGAGAGCCATGTTTCCCCTGAATGTGGTAGGGAGCCAGGTATGATTTGCAGCACCCCTGGAATGCAACTAAATCAAATCATGAAAGATAAACCTTACCTCGGTATAGGAACCTATTTTTAAATGGTTGAGGTGATGAGTTTGGGTGGTTTTTTTGGGGGGGGGAATATATATATATATTATATATATTTATATTATATTATATATAATATATATATTTTATAATATACTATAAAAAGTATATTTTTATATACTTTTTTTGAAGAAGGCAAAAGTAGATGATGGAACTGGAATTATATTGTGCTGCCTCCCTGAGAAAGTAGGAAAGCAGCCATTTAAAGAGGGTTGGACAATGTTTTACAGATGGTCAGTATTTTAGACTTTGTAAGCCACATACAGTCTCTCTAGCTTATTCTTCTTCATTTTGCTTCTTTCACCCCTTTAAAAATGTAAGAATCATTCTGAGCTCAAGGGCTGTCCAAAAACAAGGCTGGATTTGGCCTAGCAGCCATGTTTTGCCAACCTGTCATAAGCATTTGTCCTTTGTTTTCCCCACCAAATAGGTGTGTCTGTAATGATGTTATCTAACTATGTCTTATTTTTGTTTTGTCTTAGTTAACTCGTCTGCTTACACTATTTACATGGGAAAGGATAAATATGAAAGTAAGTTTTCAAAAGCATTTGATTTTGAAATTTCCAGCAGGTAAGTGTTAATTGCTTTTTCTCTCCATGGTTTGTTGGATGGGTTTTCAGTTAACTACTATAACCCATTAGAAGGAATTCCAAATGATTAATTTTCTTATAATGTAGCTGTATCAAGTGATAACTGAGAGAATTAGACCATTTGTTGCTGATTAGGAACTTACATAGTTTTGTGGTATCATTTGATTTAGGGGTGATAGGAATCAGAAGTTAACCTTTGCTAGTTTTCGTCAAATAAAAATAATCTGTGGCTTGGACTTTTGCAAAGATCCTTTTCTGTATATTTTTACCTCATCTGAGAAATATATCTTGGTTTCTTTGAGGCAGAAGATGGTTCTTTTTGAGTTGAAATGTGAACAGTGTTTTGAAGCTTTCTTGACCACTCTCACATATGTATCTTTATCTATATATACACACACACACACATATATCACATAAAATGTATATAACATTATAAATATGATGTGATAGTTATATAACTATATTATAAATCAGATCTATACAACAGTTTTGAACACTGCTATAATCATAAGTAGACCCAGTATAAGCAAGACTCATATCCTAGCCAAGAGAAAAAAACCATAACTCATTTTTTTTTAACATAACTCATTTTTAATAATAGTTTTTTTCCTTATAATGAATTTATGTCATTGACTCTGGGTGTGACTTGATGGAGAAGCAGTGTGCAGTGTATTAAAACTTGAGTTTTATATTTCTCCTTGTAATCCATGAATGTCCTGGGTAAATTTTCTCATAGCATCCTCCTGATGAACGTAACTGAGGATGCTGCTGATACCTCCCTGTATTACATTGAGCAATAAGGCACAGTTATATCTCCTGGAGTTTGCTGAAACTCATGTTCACCAAGTCGGTAATGCCATCCAACCATCTCCTCTGTTGCCCTTTTCTGCCCTCAAGCTTTCCCAGCATCAGGGTCTTTTCTGATAAGTTGACTCTTCACATCAGGTGGCCAAAGTATTGGAGCTTCAGCTTCAGCATCTGTCCTTCCAATGATTATTCAGTGTTGATTTCCTTTAGAATTGACCAGTTTGATCTTCTTGCAGTCCAAGGGACTCTGCAAGAGTCTTCTCCAGCACCACAGTTTGAAAGCATCAATTCTTCGGCACTCAGTCTTTATGGTCCAACTCTCACATCCGTATGTGACTACTGAAAAAACCATAGCTTTGATTATACAGACCTTTGTTGGTGAAGTGATGTGTCTGCTTTTTAATATGCTAAGTTTGTCGTAGCTTTTCTTCCAAGGAGCAAGCATCTTTTAATTTCATGACTGCAGTCACTGTCCACAGTGATTTTGGAGCCCAAGAAAATAATATCTGTTACTGTTTCCACCTTTTTCCCATCTGTTTGCCGTGAAGTAATGGGACCAGAATAGGGGTCAGTTTTCTGCTCTGAAAAATAAAGTCTGTTAAACAAAAACAGTGCAAAATGAGATAATATTAACAGCAGACATACAGAGAGTAAATGTGATTGGGGAGAGCCCAGAAGGCTTCTTGGAGGAGTGGGTTAAAGTGGAGTGGCTGGATTGTGGAATCCTTTAAACCTCCGTTGTAGGAATTTCTTTCTATAGATATAAGTCTAGATACAGAGTTTATGCCTACAGATGTACATTTAGATTCTACCCGGACCTCATTGGAGTGGTGTTTCACTGTTGTTAAAAGTATACATAGGAAAAAAAATTTTGTGTAGAACATTTTTTCCCCAGGTACTTTTAGAGTCATCCACTCTCCCAGTCTGCTGTTAAAATGGTATTACATTTTTCAGGTGCTATGTTCTCTACTGTGCCTAGCTCTTCACATTTACTTCTAATAGTCTTGACGACTTCTGACGAAGGACTGGATAGAACAAAAAGGAATTTTAGGTTGGACAGTTTACTTTCACTAAAAAAAGCTTTCTGATATGTTTCTTATTAGCCAGCAGGTGTCACCAGGGAGCCAGACATTGCCCAAATGAAGAGGTTTTTAGAATTTCCTTTTTCTCATCTTTCTGATTACTTGTTGGAGGTTTGCTCAACTTTCTACTTGCACTTACAGAAAACTCTTCAGAAAACTCAAGGTGTATGCATTTGTTTAAAGTGCCCTCATCAGAGAGGGTACTCTCATCTTTTTGCTTTTCTGGACAATAAATACATCATTCAAGTTAGATAGATTATACTTGAGTACATTTTATTTTATTTTATTTTATTTTATTTTTTTACTTGAGTACATTTTAAATCATCATATGTGAATCACTTTGTTTACCTTTTTTTATCTTTATGCCTAATATCAATACCAAGTAATGCTTCTGTATTAAACACAATTAGTTACTCATTATTGATACGATTTATTGGAAGTATATATTGAAATAAAATATGCACACACGGGAATTCCCTGGCAGTCCATTGTTTAGGTCTCTGCACTTTGACTGCCGTGGCCCGTGGCCTAGTCCCTGTTAGGGAGCTGAGATTCCATAAGCCATGTGGTATGGCTAAAATTAAAATAAAAAAAAATCATACAATTTAAACAAATACTTAACCTTTGTTCACTTCACCTTTTGAACAAATACTTCATGATTATAATTGTCCAATTGTAAAAACTATTAAAAGTGTTTTTTAAAAAAAGAAGGTTAAGTGAAATGTGCTAAAGTTTACTGTAAGTTGGGAAGGGAAAAAAATACCAGTCTTTTCTACAAAACTTTTTCTTAATGAAGAAAAGAGTAATTCAAAGAGGCTTTGATGATGGAAAATTAAAAAAAAATTTTTTTGAACAGTTTTGTTTTATTTAAAAGTTATTTTTTATTGAAGTATAGTTGATTTAAAATATTACTTTAGGGAATTAATTCCCTGACAGTCCAGGGTTAGGACTCAGCACTTTCATTGCCAGAGCCTGGGTTCAGTTGCTGGTTGAGGAACTAAGATCCTGCAAGCTGTATGGCATAGCCAAAAAAAAAAAAAAAACAAAGAACCGAAGAATAATTTAAAAACTGAATTAAAATTTTAAGAATAAATATTATATTAGTTTCATGTGTACAACATAGTGATTAGGTATTTTTATAGTTTGTACTGCATTTAAAATTCTTACAAAGTAACAAAATATAAAGTTATTACGGCTGTATCTCTCTGTACTCAACAGTATATCGTGTTTCTTATTTGTTTCCTTTGTTCTCTTCTGTCTCTGCAGATGAAGATCTGATCAAGTATGGCTGGCCTGAAGATATTTGGTAGGTAACAAATTTTGGTTCTGCTCTTTAAGATCATTATTTACTTTCTGAGACTTGGCCAACCGCCTGACTCCTGTGATTAAAACTAGAACTCATGGTTTGCCGTTTGTTTATGACTGTTCAGTGGTAAAAAGCTGACCACCAGCTCCCTTCACTTATAAGTACCACGTTAACTGGGAAGGAGCTCTCAGAGATGGTCCTCGGGCCTGACTGCAAAGGTCTTTGGAACATAGGCTTGCGTTTACCGCCTGTGTGTCTCCTCAGAGTAGGTGGCTGAGACTACCACACTGAAGCCCCAGAGATCTCCAGATCTGTCGTGCAAGAGATAAGAATGATTATATCTGTTATGTAGTTACCTGCTGTAAGGTTTGGGGCAGACATACCTGCAGAGAAATGATTACATATTCAGATGTTTATTTTTTATTGAAGTATAGTTGATTTAAAATATTACTTTAGGGAATTAATTCCCTGACAGTCCAGGGTTAGGACTCAGCACTTTCATTGCCAGAGCCTGGGTTCAGTTGCTGGTTGAGGAACTAAGATCCTGCAAGCTGTATGGCATAGCCAAAAAAAAAAAAAAAACAAAGAACCGAAGAATAATTTAAAAACTGAATTAAAATTTTAAGAATAAATATTATATTAGTTTCATGTGTACAACATAGTGATTAGGTATTTTTATAGTTTGTACTGCATTTAAAATTCTTACAAAGTAACAAAATATAAAGTTATTACGGCTGTATCTCTCTGTACTCAACAGTATATCGTGTTTCTTATTTGTTTCCTTTGTTCTCTTCTGTCTCTGCAGATGAAGATCTGATCAAGTATGGCTGGCCTGAAGATATTTGGTAGGTAACAAATTTTGGTTCTGCTCTTTAAGATCATTATTTACTTTCTGAGACTTGGCCAACCGCCTGACTCCTGTGATTAAAACTAGAACTCATGGTTTGCCATTTGTTTATGACTGTTCAGTGGTAAAAAGCTGACCACCAGCTCCCTTCACTTATAAGTACCACGTTAACTGGGAAGGAGGTCTGAGATGGTCCTTGGGCCTGACTGCAAAGGTCTTTGGAACATAGGCTTGCGTTTACCGCCTGTGTGTCTCCTCAGAGTAGGTGGCTGAGACTACCACACTGAAGCCCCAGAGATCTCCAGATCTGTCATGCAAGAGATAAGAATGATTATATCTGTTATGTAGTTACCTGCTGTAAGGTTTGGGGCAGACATACCTGCAGAGAAATGATTACATATTCAGATGCACTATGAAAGGCAATTCACAACAGCCTTTTACCTGACATATAAAAGAAAAAAAGTAAGTGGAAGAGAAATTTCCAACATTCAGCCTACATCTCATGTATTATGACTTGGGTTTTTCATTTCATTAAGGTTGACTCTCTCCTGGAATGCACTTACCCAACTGGTGTCTACAGATGCTCGATACCCATTTCAACACTCTTAATATTTATAATCTTGAGATTTAATGTCTTGTTGGAAGTGATCGACTAGTACTTCCAGAAGCTATTTGAGGTCTGATATGAGCTGGCATAGCCCTAAATTTCAAGACCTGTTCCAGTTCACAAACCGTCAATTCTGGAAACATTCTGAGGCATGTGAAAAATGAATGAGTTGATCTGCATTCCAGGGCAGATTTTCAGCCTGGGTCACCTTGACGTAGACTCTGGAACTGAACCTCTGGGAATGTCAACATCTGAGTTTATCCTAGGAAACCTACAGTGCTTGGAAGCAAAGAATTTTTCTAGGATTAAATGAGAATGGAACTGAACTCATTTTTTTTTTTAAGATTTTTTTTCTTTTTTCTTTTCTGATGTGGGCCATTTTTAAAGTCTCTAATGAATTTGTTGAAATATTGCTTCTGTTTTATGTTTTTGGTTTTTCTGGCCATGAGGCATGTGGGATCTAGCTCCCCAACCAGGAATCAAATCTGCACCCCCTGTATTGGAAATGCAGAGTCTTAACCACTGGGCCACCACGAAAGTCCCTAAATTCTTTTTAAACAAAGGAAAACAGAAATGTGCGTTTACTGCCTCCAGACTCCCTAACGAGTGATATATCCAGAGACCCCACTTGAAGAAGTAAAATTACCCAGCTTTGGGTGCTCTGCCTCTCTCCAGTCTCAGGTCAAGGACGCTCATATATTCAAGTGTCTAGTCTCTGTATTCAGTGAAGGGTAATAGTGATTAATCAGGGAGAGGAAAGTAACCAGAAGAGAGAGAACTAGGGAACTAGTTGGGCATAATTTAAACTTGGAGTGAGCATTTGGGACGTTTGTTAAGGAAGCTTGCTCCAAATAGTTTACAGAGCTGACTTTTTGTTTGTTTTACACTTCAACCAAAGCCCTGAATATCCATACATTTGCCCTGCCCTTTGCAGAGGTGTACCTACACGCCTGAAGTTCATGTAGATCAGCAGTGGTGTTCCTGTGTGTGTTTTAGTACTTTGACTACCTATATTTGAACCCAGTATATATGTATGTTGAACTATTTATGTATTTCTATTGACAAAATTCCATATCAGGGACCTTTAAGGGAAGTCAGAATATAGTCAAGCTACTGTGGGTATGTTGAAAAGAGTTGTTGTAAATAGAGAACTTTAAATTGGAATGGGAGAAGTTTTCTCAATTGAGCTTGTTTACGAATGGGGTATTTTTCTAACATCCTGAAACAGGGTAGTGAGATATCATTTCTAGATTTTCAAGAAGCTTATTTTCTGGCTGGAGAGTGCCAAGCAGAAGAAGAAAATCAATAGGAATCTCTTACATGAGAATGCAAATGAGTAAGTGAATCTGAAGAGGAAAAATAAACCAAGATGTTGTGTTCATTTCTGGCTGTCAGTATTTGTGAGGAGTAAGACCTAGAGTCATCAGAGTCTGCCAAAAAATGTGTAAAACTTTTGTAGTCAAAGTCACTAGCAAGATGCTTAATCTTTTTAAAGAGGGCATTACAAACAGCATAATCTTGACCTTTATATAGAATCACACTGTCTACATCTTGGACTGGGTATAAATGTGTAGCCATTTTCAGTTCTAAAAAATCCTTTAATGCTAATAAAATATCTAGAGAAATACATAAGGGGCTATGATGTTGCCCCCTTAAAATTTTACTGAACATTCTTCAGTCTTGAAGGAAAGGACTAAGGAACAGAAAACTGAAGTTAACAGAATCAGGAGTGACAGCTGTGTGTTACCATTGTTTGCTAGCATTCTGAAGTCATCTTTGGGTGTTGGGAAGAGAGATCCACCTCACTTGGTGATTTCTAAAGGTGAATAACTTAAAATTCCCAAATGTTGGGTTACATGAAAAAAGGACATTTTTTAAAGATTTAATTAAATTAATGAATGATAGAGCCTTAATGAAAGGTAAATGCAGGACTTAGGGAATGAGAGGGCATTCTGATATTTTTAGGACAACATCATAAAGGGCAATAGCCATGCTTTCCCAGGAATTGAGTATTAGTGTCATTGTTAGATGTAAGGCTGGATGAATTGGGTTTTGGAGTTTTCTTGGTTGTGTTTTTTCTTTTTAAATTAATTTTTACTGGAGTATAGTTGCTGGATGAATTGCTAGTCTGACACCTAATGGGAGGTGGTCCACTTACTGCTTCAGTCCTTACCTGACTCTTCTGTCTCTGATTGACATTCTCTTTGGATTGTTTTGCTATTGCTTGAAACTCAGGATGTCCCAAACCAGACCTCTCATCTTTCCCAGCTGGCTCCCTCTCCAGCTGTAAGGTGTGTCTGTCAGTGGTCCTGCAGGTTGCCCAGGCTTGCAGCCCTGGAGTCTTGATGACTTCTTTCATTCCCTTCTCTTCCCTCCTAAAATTCCTTTCCCATGTTTGCTGTGCATCCCATGCTTCAGCCTGGGACCCTCCAGATCTCAGTTCACCAGTGAATCCTTGGGTCACTGATAGCTCTTTCTCACTTGAAAAGTCACACTTCCTGGGCATTTCATGTTCGTCACCTCCTGTGCTCATCTCGGCACTTAGCCTTGCACAGCTGCAGAACTCTCCATGTTTTTCTCACCTCTCCCAGTTGAAAGTGAGGCCTTCGGAGGCGGTTGGCTGTGTTTTCTGCTCACCGTGGTGCTCAGCATGCAATAGGCAACTGAATTCATATTTTTGGATTGGAGTGCTTTCAACGCAGGTGACCTGAGGAGATGGTTATCTTGTACCTCTTGCTAAAAGTGGTTTTCATTCTTTGTAGGTTTCATGTGGACAAACTCTCTTCGGCTCATGTGTACCTTCGATTGCATAAGGTAATTGGATTTAAACATGGATTCAAAATTTTTTAGTGATGAGCATCCTGTCTTTCCTCTGTCTTTTTTTTTTTTTTTAATAAATTGCTTAGAGTAATAAATATGTACAAAAGTCTACAAATTAGCAGATGAAGAGATGTTTCCCCTCACCTAGGAAATCACTAAGGGCAGGTCTGGTGAGGAGGTTTGGAAGGGGAACACAGCACATACTTTCCGGCTAGCAGCACTGTCTTGTCCTGCCAGCTGAGGTGTCTGTATGTCACCCCTGCTGTCTCTCCCTGTCCTTTCAGTTGACACTACTGGACTTCCTGTCTTCTTCTGGGGAGATGGCATTTGTGGTTCCTTTTTCTCAGACTGGTGATTCTCCTGTCTCACCAAGGGCACATGTCCCTGTTAGCCGGGGCTTCTTCAGGAGGTTTAAAACAGCGTTATCATAGTAAAGGGGAAAGATTCCATGTTGCCATGTCACATAAAACCATTTTTATAATCTGTCTTTATATCCATATATTTTGTACAGTTGAATCACAGGGTACAGATAATTGTTACGTGTGTTGCTTTTTTATATATGTGTTTGGAGATGATATTAGATGTACAGAAAAGTCACAGAGGTAGCACAGACTCCTGTACACGCATGTCCAGCTTCCCCCATTGCCCGCATCTTCCATGGCCATGGTAGATCTGCCAGAACTCAGGAACCACGGTGCAGCTCTGTTCAGTAACCTCGGGGCTCTGTCTCCATTTCTACAGTGTTTCTGTTCACATGCTTTTTCTGTTGCAGTATCTGGTCCAGGATCCCACACTGCGTTCTGGTTGTCGCGTCTGCCTGGTCTCTGGCCTGCGACAGTTTCTCACTCTTTCTCTGTTTGTCACGACCTTGATGGTTTGGGAACTACCACTCAGGTTGTTTATGGAATGGCGCTCTGTGGGTTTTTCTCATGACTAGACTGGAGTTACGGGTTTAGGGGAAGAACAGCACAGAGGTGGGGTGCTGTCATCCCATCGTGTCAGGGTACGTCTGTTCACAGGACTTAGCACTAATGCTGTCAACCTTGGTCTCCTGGCCAGGGTAATGTTTGCCGGGTTTTTCCACCAGAGAGTTGCTCAGTTGACACTACTGGACTTCCTGTCTTCTTCTGGGGAGATGGCATTTGTGGTTCCTTTTTCTCAGACTGGTGATTCTCCTGTCTCACCAAGGGCACATGTCCCTGTTAGCCGGGGCTTCTTCAGGAGGTTTAAAACAGCGTTATCATAGTAAAGGGGAAAGATTCCATGTTGCCATGTCACATAAAACCATTTTTATAATCTGTCTTTATATCCATATATTTTGTACAGTTGAATCACAGGGTACAGATAATTGTTACGTGTGTTGCTTTTTTATATATGTGTTTGGAGATGATATTAGATGTACAGAAAAGTCACAGAGGTAGCACAGACTCCTGTACACGCATGTCCAGCTTCCCCCATTGCCCGCATCTTCCATGGCCATGGTAGATCTGCCAGAACTCAGGAACCACGGTGCAGCTCTGTTCAGTAACCTCGGGGCTCTGTCTCCATTTCTACAGTGTTTCTGTTCACATGCTTTTTCTGTTGCAGTATCTGGTCCAGGATCCCACACTGCGTTCTGGTTGTCGCGTCTGCCTGGTCTCTGGCCTGCGACAGTTTCTCACTCTTTCTCTGTTTGTCACGACCTTGATGGTTTGGGAACTACCACTCAGGTTGTTTATGGAATGGCGCTCTGTGGGTTTTTCTCATGACTAGACTGGAGTTACGGGTTTAGGGGAAGAACAGCACAGAGGTGGGGTGCTGTCATCCCATCGTGTTAGGGTACGTCTGTTCACAGGACTTAGCACTAATGCTGTCAACCTTGGTCTCCTGGCCAGGGTAATGTTTGCCGGGTTTTTCCACCAGAGAGTTGCATTTCTCCCCATTTCCATACTTCATTATTTGGAAGCAAGTCACTGAGCCCATCCTGTACTGAGGCAGGGAGAGGATGGAATTAAGTCCCACGTCCTAGAGTCAGGAGTATCTGCTTGTATTGTTTGGAATTCTTCTGTAAAGATTTGTCTCTTCCCCCCATGTATTTGATTTAGTCATTTACTTATGTCAGTATGGACTGTGGCATTTTGTGGCTAAAATCGTGCCTGCTTTGATTCTCCCACCTCTGCTCCTGTGTTCCTCTGACATGCTCCTGTCGTTTTGGTTTTGGAGCCCTTCCTTACTTTCTGATACTGCTAGATGCTCCAGGCTCATGTATTTTCCCTGCTCCAGCCCTAGAATCAGTCATTTCTCCAAAGAACCTTGGTTCCTTTTACTGAGAAATGGTATTTAGAAACCAAGACCTGGACTCTGGGAGTGCTTATTGCTACTGGAGTGTCATTGCTTCTAGGCCGTCTCGCGTGACAGAGCTAGGAAGTATGTATACATATATATTAACCCGTGTTAGTAATTTGTGTGAATAATTGTTTCTGTACCTAGTAAGCGAAACATGAGCTCCTACTGATGTTTCTGGTGAATCCATTACTGTGGGGGCCTTTCTGTCCTTCCTTCGTTGCTCCTTTATTATTACTTCCTTCTTAGACAATGGGTAAGGAGACCTGGCTCCCACCATACACCATCATTTGCTTATTTGAATCCAATCTGTGTGGAAGTGGTTTCAGATTTGGTGACTTGTATACTCATAAGAAACAACTTTGTCAGCTAAAGTACAGTATTTATGTGCAATTATTTTTGGTTTCTGCCTTACAGTTTCCATTCAAAATGCTGTTTTTCAAAGTTATTTGTAAGCTGCTTTCCCCCCCCATGCCTTTCATTGATATTTGTCATGCACTTAGATTCTTTCATCTCAGTTTGCATTCCTCCTTGGCATCCCCTCATTGATTGTATTACATGACCATATAATTTTTATATTTATTGTTTTGACTGGCTGCTTCAAGTTGACAGTATGCCACAGTTAATTTGAAAGCTCCCTGTCAGAATATAAGTTGTTTACAGCATTCAGTATTATGAAGCCCCAACAAGAAATATTTTTTATGAACTATTTTTTTTCTTTTGATTTTTTTTTTTAAGCATATTATTGGGTCAAAAGATATAAATATTTTAGTAACTCCTTTTATGCCAGATTGCCCTTTGAAAATATTGTGCTGGTTTAAAATGCTACCTGGTATGTATAGGTTTTTCCAAAAACATTTTGGGGTTTTATAACTTAAGAGCAGCCTTTTGACTATTTTTAATAAATAAAAAATGATATTCATTATGCTGATAATATTTACTTCTCAGTGTACTAACAAGATAAAACATGCTAGCCCACCTTTACTTACTTTGCTTGTGTTTTTGAGAACAGTATTGTAAAAAAGAAAAAAATAAGACGTTTGTGAACTCTGTGCTGGAACAAAATTCTGAATTTTCCTAGGCAACTTCTTGCCATTCTGAAACTATTTTAAGTTTAGAGAAAATAAAGAATGGTATTCCCAACTTCCTTTTGGTTCAGATTAAGATTTTTCCTTTGGATTTTGCTGTGTCAGAAAATGGAAATAATGGTGATAGTCCCAAGTTCACCTTACCACCAGTTAGTACTTGTCCAAACAGGAGTTCCATTTCATTTTCTTTTGTAAGCCCATAATTGTACTTGATAAAAATCTGTGCTCCTAAAGGAACTTCTACCTGGTAGATCTCCTGCGGTAAAGGCTATCCGTTCATGTCCGACTCTTTGCGACCCCATGGACTGCAGCATGCCAGGCCTCCCTGTCTATCACCAACTCCCGGAGTTTACTCAAACTCATGTTCATTGAATAAGTGATGCCATCCAGCCATCTCATCCTCTGTCGTCCCCTTCTCCTCCTGCCTTCACTCTTTCCCAGCATCAGGCTCATTTCAAATGAGTCAGCTCTTTGCATCAGGTGGCCAAAGTATTGGAGTTTCTGCTTCAACATCAGTCCTTCCAATTAACATTCAGGACTGATTTCCTTTAGGATGGACTGGTTGGATCTCCTTGCAGTCCAAGGGACTCTTCAGGAGTTTTCTCCAACACCACAGTTCAAAAGCATCAATTCTTCAGCGCTCAGCTTTCTTTATAGTCCAACTCTCAACTTCCATACATGACTACTGGTCATAAAAGTAAAGGCCATAGCCCTTCGTATTAATTAGTAGGTACCAAGTAAGCGTTGGAGATGCAGTGAGACTAAGTAATTCAGAACCTAGACTCTGGAGCTGGACTGCTGGCTTCAAATCCTGACTCTGCTCATACCGGCTGTGCACCTCTGAGCAAGTTATTCAGCTGTGCCAGTTTCCTCTGTAAAAGGGAGCTCACAACCCCTGACTTACTGGGTCATTGTAATGATTAAATGACCTAGCATGACTGAAGTTTTTTTTTTTTGGCTGCACCATGCAAGATCTTAGTTCCCTGATCAGGGATTGAACCCTTGCTTCCTGCATTCAGAGCTCAAAATCTTAACCACTGGACCACCAGGCAGGTCCCAGCTAAAGCATTTCTAATAGTGCCTGGCACTTGCTAAGTGCTATGTGTGTTTATTCTTTTTTTTTTTTTTGGTCAAATTCAGGTGAATTCAACCCAGGCTTTAAAGCTTATGGATATTCATCAAGGGTTTGGTTTTTTCTCTATGCTTCTTTGATTTTTTGAAAACCTATAGGAAAATCTCACTTATCAAGAGGTTTCTTATCTCATTAACACAGATGGCGCAAAGCCTACAGACAGAATTTTGGCCTTTACCTTAGACTCTCCATGCATTTTGTTTACTCTGACTTAATGCATAATACTAAGCCAAATGATTTTATTTTATTTGGTCTGCTCATTTTATTAGAAATAGCAAAACAAGAAGAGGGGATTGCTTCAGGAATAGCAGTAGCTCTAGGTAGTAAGGAGGACTGTTGGTACATAACCTGATATTAAGGGCCAAGATAACATTTCCACAAAAACTCCATAAGCACCGTACTCTGGGGCCAGTTGTTAGAGCTTGACTTTAATCCTGGGTTCATCTCTGAGCTCTGACATTTACAAGACATGGAGGATCTTGGCCCAGTTACTAAACCTCAGTAAGCTTCATTTTCTTCATTGGTAAGGTGAGCATGATAATACTATCCATTTCATATGGCTATTTACTGAGTGTTCCTAGCATTCAAAAAGTGAATATTCCTAAAGTGGTTCCTAATTTGTTCTTTATTATTCATTTGATGTATTTAGTATAGGGTCAGTCAGTTTCTGTGAGTGTTAGAAGAAGCCCGTGAAGGCATCATCATCACTATATTGTAGCCTAGTGTAGTGGTTGATATTCATGATGATGACATTGTGTTAATCAAGTTGGTAAATTCAGAATCCTGTATTTAAGTGAATAAGTCTATTCACAGGATGAGATAGGGTTTAAGTACTTTCTGGTCAAAATTTAGGTATTTGAGAGAGTCCCCTTTTGAAATTAAGAGGAAAAAAAAAAACAGAATAAACTTAATTTTTCAAATATTTAGGTAGATAAAACATTTCACTCCTAGACAGAAGTGCTTCTGTAATCCCATGCCTAACAGCCAGTGCTGAGCTGATTTCCACCAGCTCTTGCCTCTGACATGCTTTTGTTCCTTTGGAATGGCTCTGCTTATTCAGCTTTAACTTTGATACTGTATCTATAAAGTGAATGAATTGATATTTTTTTCTCCCTTATGGTGGAAGTTTATATGTCACACACCAGGAGCTTGGTTCCTGACTAAAGCTGAGGGTACATAACCTACCAGATGATTGAGACCCACAACTGTAAGATGCCTCGTGTGTGTGTGTGTGTGTGTGTGTGTGTGTTTTAGTCGCTCAGTCGTGTCTGAGTCTTTGTGACTCCATGGACTGTAGCCCACCAGGCTCCTCTGTCGGTGGGATTCTCCAGGCAAGAATACTGGAGTGGGTTGCTATTCTTTTCTCCAGGGATCTTCCCAACCCAGGGATTGAACCCAGGTCTTCTGGATTGCAGACGGGTTCTTTACTATCTGAGCCAACGGGGAAGCCCTTGAGAGGGATGTCTCTTGAGAGGGAGGGCATAGGGACCTCGGCTAAGAAATCTTCCTGTTGTCAAAAACAGACATCACTTTTCCACACGGTTTCTAAAAGTATGAATGAGAAGAAAGAGGAAAAAATTACTCAGACATAAAAATGCTTAATATTTTGGTGGTTTTCTTTTCATACCCTGTTTTTTATTTACCTATTAAGTATCAGTATTTTCCATATTACAGCCTTCTCTTAAACATTTCCATAACTGTCTTTATTTTTCAGTGTCTTGAAATACAGTTGAAGAGCCCCTTGTTTTAATAAAATTGTGCCTAGTAAAGTAGCAAAGCCCCATAAAAGTGCTCCAGTATTGCTCAGAAACAAGGTGGTGAGCCATTTGGTTTATTTTTGTGTTTCAGGGAGAGAAAATAGAAGATATTCCAAAGGAGGTGCTGATGGACTGTGCCCATCTTGTGAAGGCCAATAGCATTCAAGGTCAGTTTTCCTAGAGGTGTTTTCAGAACTCACACACTTTGTGTCTGAAATGGATTATATCTTAGAGAACATGTTACTGACTTTGGCTTGAGTCTAGAGAATAACTTGTATGTGATATGCCTTTCCCCTGTTTTGTTAAGATGGCAATCTCGCTGCCTGTCAGAGAACTGAAGACTAATCTCCCCACCCCTCTAATGTTCATGGCCCATCTGAAGTCTTTTTTTTTTTTAACCCTGTTTTCTTTCCCTTGAATAGAAAGTTGTCTAGACTTGCCTACCCTTAAGGTTATTTGTGAAAAGACATTTGGAAATTAGGTTATATTAAAAGCCAGGCGATAAATGTGTCTCAGGTCTTTATTCGTAATGCTGTTGCATATCTTTATTTTTGTTATTTGTTACTGTTCTGTTGGCCAAAAAGTTCTTTTGGGGTTTTCCATAAGATGTTATAGAAAAATCCAAACGAACTTTTTGGCCAACTCAATACCTTCTAGAATTCAGGTCTCCCATTTGCTCTTTCCTGTGTTTTCTTTCTTCTCTCCTTACAGACTTTTTTCTTCCTATGCATATCAAATCCACCCTTGTTATCTCCCAGAGAATCTTAAATAATTGGTCTGGGGTGATATGTTAGAGTCAGTATTTTTATAGTGCTCTCCAGATGTTTCCAGCGTGCAGAGTGTTGGGACACTTGGCCTCCGGGTTTTAAGTAGGACCTGTAATACTGGGCTTGGTGCCTGTTGAGTTCTACTGTACAAGATTTAACTTTTCAATGGTCAGTGTAGGTCAAGAAGGACAATTAATGGAGTGGAGGTGGCAGTTACAAAGGAGAGTAGGGAGATGGTGTTCTGTGAAGGAGGATTGAGCTGATAGACTGGATTTTAGTTGTAGGACATGGACCTAGATAGGGTTGAGGTAAGTTTGGGTTCATTTGAAGTTGAGGGCTGATCCAGAGTGTTGAGAAAAAATATGGTTTACATAGAAGATAAGCATGGGGCAGACACAGCTGACAGCAGGTCGCAGAGGTCGGTGATTACTGAGAAGAGCTGGAAATGAGCCCCTCCCCCACCTTTTAGCCTGCGGATCTCACGCAGGCAGCTTTCCTGGGTCAGGGGCCTAGCCAAAGAAACCGGAAGTCTTGTCCTTGTCCTGTAGACCCCTTCATCTTCAGCTCCATAAATCATTAAATTGCAACTGATTTTAGAGTAGAACCAAGCTCCTAAGATTCCCAGTTAAGATCTCTGGTTACTGAAATAAAAATAATAAAAATCAAGACTGCCATGTCCTCTTTCCTTGTGTGTTGCAACCTTTCACTGTTCTTGTCCCCTTCCCAGGCCTCTGGCTGGCAGAGGCAACTTTGTTACAAGAGCAAAGAGCCCTGGCCTTGTTATTCTTGGCTGAGCCTCTTTCTCCTTAATCCTTTGTAGTTTACTAGTTCTGGAGAAAACAGAAAAGAGAAGTCCTTAGATCACTGAGTCCTTAACCTCCCCCTTCAGCCTGCCATGGGGATGGCCCACTCAGCTGAGGAAGGAGCTGAGCCCAGGCATCGCACTGTCAGGAGTTAAGAGCAGTGGATGCTGAGGGGTGCCGAAGATTGCCTTTGCTGTGAGATCTGCTGAGTGCGCTCCATCTGTGTCACTGAGTCCTTAAAATATTTTCCTCCCTGGCTGACCACCTCCCATGCTGTTTGTCCTCACGGAATCTGGTCAGCCTCTTCTTTATTCACTTTATAATCTCTTGCCAGATTAAACTGTCTCAAAGCCTGGACACTTTCCATGACACCCCACACCTTGTCTGTACAGTTAAGTCCAGACTTCCTAAGCTGGCATTTAAGCATCTCGGATCTGACCACATACTCTATTTCCCTTCGTGTATTTCACACTCCAGCCAAAGCAAATATCTGCTGTCTTCCCACCTTGTGCCTTTGCTTACATTGTTCCCTCTGCCCTCAATGTTATACTCCTGCTCAGCCATCACATGTCTGGATCGGAGCTAAGGCTGAGGGTGGACACAGTAGTTAACAATAGTAAGAGCAGCTAACCTTGAATGTTAATTACATGTCTGGCACTGTGCCAGAAACATTACACATTATTCATTTGTCAACTCTACTGAATTAAGAAAGTTATTTTCATTTTATAGATGAGGAAGCCGAGATTAAACAATTAAGAATTAAGGAACTTAACCTCTCCTGTGGAATCTTTCTCTTTTTCCATCTTTGAGTGACCTCTGCCCTCTCTGAATTGTCTTAGCGCTTTACCTATATCTTTCCAATATCACTTGACAGTATCTCATTTTACTTGAGCTTATTTATCTGACTCAACAGAAATGAGTTTGAGCAAACTCCAGGAGATTGTGAAGGACAGGGAAACCTGGATGCTGCCGTTCATGAAGTTGCAAAGACTCGGACACAACTTAGTGGCTTAACAAAAAACAAATGTATTTATCTGTCCTCTTTTAATCTTAGAGGACAGGATCCATTGTGCGAGCCATGTTTCTGTCTCCCACAGTGCCTTGCATATGGAGATTTTTTTTAACTTGATTTTGAAAAAAATTTCAAACCTGCAGAAAAGTTGCAAGAAAAATACAGCTCTCATCTGCCTTTCATTTAGAGTCAAGAGTTTTTCCATATTTGTTTGCTCTCTCCCTATGATATACTCAATGGTTTTTTTGTTTTTTGTTTTTTTTAGCTGAACCATTTGAAAGAAAATCATAGCCATCATGACCATGCAGTGTGTCCTCAGAAGGACATTGCCTAAAGTAACTGTGTTACAGTGATTAAATTCAGGAAATGTAACATGGGGAGAATACCGTTACCTGATAGAGAGACCATATGTAAGTTTTGTCCGTAGTCCCACTTCTGTCACCTTATAGCATCTCTTTCCTGATCCAGGATCCTGTATTCTATTCACTTGTCATGTCTCTCTGGTCGCCTTTAATCTGGACACTTCTTTGTCTTTCAGGACTTTGACACTTTTAGAGTGGAGGCCACTTTGGGTTGGTGTGATGCTTCCTGTTCAGTAGGATCAAATTTTCTAGCAGGAATACTATGCAAGTGAGCTTCCTGTTCAGTAGGATCAAATTTTCTGGCAGGACTACTATGCAAGTCAAGCCTTGTGCATTTCAGTCAGGAGGTACCTGCTGCCAGTTTACCTCATTTTTGGTGACGTTAACATTGATCATTTAAATGGGGTTGTGTTCCCCAGACTTCCCCATTGTATGTGATCATTGACTATAAACACTGACATGTATCGCCATCAAACTCAGAAGGGCCTTAGGGAGCACTGGACCAGTGACTAAACTGGGATTCTTAGAGCTGCCTGGGAGGCTGTTGGCATGGAGGGGCACATGAAGTGGGGGCGGTGAGGGCATAGGAGGCATGAACAGGGTTCCTGGCACCCCTTTTATCCAGAGCATCTTTGCTTCGATTGCTTTGACATGTTTTCTTTGGTGAAAGATGTTCCACTGCTAAAAGAAACAAACAACAGGAACACTACTAAACGGGTCCAACTTCCTCATATTTCAGACAAGATTCCAGGAGCCATGGGGACTTTCCCAAAGTGAACCAGCTGGTTTGTGGTAATGCTGGGTAGGATCCTGTCTCCTGAATTCCTTTATCTTGCTGCTTAATCTTCATTAGGTCAAGGGTTCCTTTGAGAATCTGAGAAAACCTGTATGGCCCTTTTCTCTTTAAAAACACATAAAGTAAATGTTCAACTTTAGAAAGCCTCAGAGTCCCTGAAGCTGATCTCTAGACCCCTGCTTTCCTTTGGAATACTTTAGCTTGAATTGTTTGTGGGCTTTACCGTTTGTCTTTGTAGGAGCTGCTTTTTGAAAAAGACAAAATATTTTGTGGTTTGAAATGCTCAGTGGCTCGTTCATTCTCACCCTTCTCCCCTGTTGGATTATGGTGACTTAATCATGGGTGTGGGCACGCATTGCTCAGTGTCCTCCTGCCCACATGCTGAGGACAGTTTCTCTTGGCAGGCTGCAAGATGAACAATGTCAATGTGGTGTACACCCCGTGGTCTAACCTGAAGAAGACGGCCGATATGGACGTGGGCCAGATTGGCTTTCACAGGCAGAAGGATGTGAGTGTGACGTCACCGGAAGGGGTGGCGCCCTCATGCGGAGGGGTGTCTTGGTGCTGAGGGGTCTCCGTCTCTTCTGTCAAGGGATCCGCATGCCTGTTTCCTAAAGGGACTCCACCTGCGTGGCAGAGGAAAGCTTCTGCCCTATTCTGAGGGGGAGGGGAAAACCATAAGGATTAAGTATCTTTTTTCCTACATCTCCGTCAAAGGTGAAAATTGTGACAGTAGAGAAGAAAGTGAATGAGATCCTGAACCGATTAGAAAAGACCAAAATGGAGCGGTTCCCGGACCTAGAGGCAGAGAAAGAATGCAGAGACCGTGAAGAGAGAAATGAGAAGAAAGCCCAGATTCAGGAAATGAAAAGGAGAGAAAAGGAAGAGATGAAAAAGAAGAGGGAGATGGACGAACTTAGGTATGCTGGAGCTAAGACACTTGCCTTGACCTTGGACAAGTCCTCACTGCTGACTTAATTGGGAATTAACCCTTAGGAATGGTAGATTTAATTTGTGATATGTGTACCAAAAAAGTTACTGATTCCTTTGGGAAGGGAATAGGATTCACATGAGCTGTCTTGCCCTGTCCTGCCCTGGTTTCCTTGGAATACTCTGGATTATTAGCAAGATTGTTTGGCCAGAATGGAGGTATTATGATCAAGTGCTGCTATTTATTTTTTATCGACATGCACGTTCTTATAATATTTAATAAGAAAGGTTAGCTAACATCTTTGGATATTTGTCATCTTCCCAACACTGTATTGTGCTTTACTGCATTATCTCATTTAATCCTAACAATAGCCATGTGAGGCAAATATTTTTTAGCATCTGCATTTTGTAGAAGAGGAAAATGAGAGACTAAGTAACTCACCGAGACATGCTGCTCATCTCAGTCTGCTTCTCAATCTCACACACAGTTTCCACTCTCTTTTGCCCTCTGTTCAGGCTGTTTCAGAGTTTTAGTAAAGCTCCAACAACAACCTCTAAGCTCAGATTTGTTTTATAACCTGTTGGTGCTAGTATCACTTTAATTTCTGTCTTTGACACTTTGACCCAAGAGATCGAATGCTATGCCTACAAAATCTTCTCATTCTAAAGCCTTTCACTTGCCTTTCTGACATGGAAAATACCATTAAATTTCACCAACAGTCGATTCATTTATTTGGACCATCTGCTAAGAAACATCTAGTTAATTGCTGTGATCGCTGAAGAAACTGATGTTTGAATCTTTGGGGAATTCTACAGATAGAGTGACAAGACATTCTCACCTTGGACAGTACCCGCAGTACTTCCAAATGGTTTCAGGGAGGAAGTCCTTCACAGCCTCATATCTTGGTGATGCCCAACTTCTTCCCAATTCTATTGCCATTCTTTAGACTCTAAACTCCCTTTTTCAACTTTCTGAACAAGAATGGCAATCAGCTTTTTATTCCTAATTTCTATCAGGAGAATAAAAAGGATGGAATTGCTATCGTATAGTCCAGGTTCTTTAAGCTCTAGTCAGGAGTCTATCCATCAGCCTCTAGCTCAGAACACAGCAAAACCCATGACCCAGAAGGCACCACCTTCCTTCTCAGATGAAAAGAGCAGCAGTCCCTGAAGACAGAGCTCCATCTTGTTCTTGCAAATAAGTGCTTTACCTACCCTGTCCTCAGTGTGCAGAAATTCCAGTGATCTGATACTTGGAATAGGTCTACGTAAAGATCATCCTTTGAGGTAGTTTTCTTAAAGAAATATTTAGATTGTTGGGAGAATGCCGAACTGTGAAGGCTAAGTGGTAACAGTATATTTTGTTGTTGATAATTTGGTAAGTCATCTCTCTGCTACCCCATGGACTACAGCACACCAGGCTTCCCTGTCCATCACCAACTCCCAGAGTTTACTCAGACTCATGTCTATTGAGTCAAGGATGCCATCCAACCATCTCATCCTTTATCGTCCCCTTCTCCTGCCCTCAATCTTTCCCAGTATCTATTCCCATGAAGATTTAAATATATACTTTAGTTCAGTTCAGTCGCTCAGTTGTGTCCGACTCTTTGCAACCCCATGGACTGCAGCACTTCAGGCCTCCCTATCCATCACCAACTCCCAGAGTTTACTCAAACTCATGTCCATTGAATCGGTGATGCCGTCCAACCATCTTATTCTCTGTTGTCACCTCCTCCTCCTGCCTTCAGTCTTTCCCAGCATCAGGGTCTTTTCCAGTGAGTTGGCTCTTTGCATCAGGTGGCCAAAGTATCAGGGCTTCAGCATCAGTCCTTCTATTAGCCATTTTGTTCATTTACACAATAATGAAAAATTCCCCTTATTTAGTCTCCACATATTAATTCTCACCATCTTGTTCATTAGCTCTTTAGACAGCTTTTTTGCTGACACTTGCCCTGTAGCTTAGCATCTAATGGGACTTTTGTGTAGAGAACCTTTGTGTAGGGTTACCTGTAGAGAGGAAGCCTTGAGTGACATGTCCCTTCCACCTGCTGTGCTGTAAGCCACACTTAGAGCAAGGATGTGGCAGAAGAAACAGCTGAGGTTATGAAAGTAGTCGGAGCCCTAGAAGTGACCTTGCTTGGAAAGTGAGAGAAGCAGAACAGCTCTCGCTCAGTTTTATGTGGATTTTGGAGAGGGCCTTCAAACAGGTACCTGTGAGTCTCTCAGGGGACACCATCCTTTACTGACACACTGGAGAGGAGTGTCTGCAGCTCCCCCGCAGTGGATCCGAGTCAGTTTCATCTCCGTAGTTGGATTCCTCCTCATGGCCTGCCCATGTGCTCTGTTAGAACCTTGCATGACTTACTTGGCTTTTGTGATATTGTAACAGACTTTTCAGTTGAGTTCAGTTCAGTCGCTCAGCCATGTCTGACTCTTTACGACCCCATGAATCACAGCACACCAGGCCTCCCTGTCCATCACCAACTCCCGGAGTTTACTCAAACTCATGTCCATC